AAATGTTAAAGGGCCTTCTTCAAACTAAAATAAAATGATGTTAATTAACTTCATAAAAAAATATATGAATGAGTAAAACTCTTAGCAATTGTAAATACGTAGTTGAATTCACATCAATATTATAATGATGTTACATAATTCACTACAAACTATACTTTAAAAGTTAAAAAATGTATTAAAATATCCATAACTATAATAATTTATTTTTGGGTACACAATATTACAAAGATGTAAATTCTGACATCAATACTCTTTAATATGAGTGAAGAGAAGTAACACAAAATTTCTTTGTTCTATCAAATTTGAGTTGTCATTAGCTTACAATATTAATTATGAATATAAGATATTTTATGTAAGCCTCATGCTAAACATAAAGAAAAACCTGTAGTATACACAGAAAACATTATGATAAAGGCATCAAAGTATATGACCACAAGTCATCAAATCACAAAGAAAGGTTGCAAGAGAGAAAAGAAAATAAGGAATAGGCCTGGCTGGTCTGGCTCAGTGGCTTGAGTACTGGCCTATGAACCAAAGGGTTGTCAGTTCAATTCCCAGTCAAGACACATGCCTGGGTTGCAGGCCAGGTCCCCAGTGGGGAGTGTATGAGAGGCAAACACACATTGATGTTTCTCTCCCTCTCTTTCTCCCTCCCTCCTTCTCTCTAAAAATAAATAAAATCTTTTTTTTTTTAGAAAAAGAAGGAACAAAATATGTACAAAACAGTAAGAAAATAATTAATAAAAGTGGAGAACTTTAATACCTCTCTGACAACAATGGCTAGATCATTCAGAGAATTAATAAGAAAAGAGCAGAGGTGAAAAACAGTATAGCTCAAATGAACCTAACAAACATTTAAGATTTCATTTAACAGTAATATAGTACATGTTTTTCACACACAAAGGTTTCCTAGGATAAACCATAACTTAGGTAACAAGACAAGTCTCAACATACTCCAGAAATTAAAATTTGTATTGTGTCTTTTCCAATCACAATGTTATGAAACTAGAAATCAGCAACAATATGAAAGATGGAAAATTCACAAGTACATCGAAATGCAATGTCTATCATGATTCTAATGGATATTTTTCCAGAAAAAAAAATAAATCCTAAAATTTCTATGGAACCACAAAAGATCCAGAATAGTCAAAGGAATCTTTAGACTGCAAAATAAAGTTGAGGGCATCACAGTTTAAGATTCAAACTACATTACAAAGCTACAATAATCAAAACAGTATGGTACTGCTATATAAACAACATATAGACAAATACAAATAATTGGAGCGACCAGAAATAAATCAATGAATATGTAATTAACTAATATTTGGCAATGGAGCCATAATACTAAATGAGGAAAGGACAGCTTCTTCAATAAATGATGTTGGGGAAAGTAGATATTTATATGCAAAAGAATCAAACTTGACCCTATCTAAAAAATTAACTCAACATGGATTAAATACTTATATATAAGGCAGAAACTATAAAACCCCCAGAAGAAAACATAGGGAAAGAGTTTTCTGACATTGGTCTTGACAATGATTTTATATAGGGTCTGGCACAAATAACACCCCCTTTCTATTACAAAATATTTTATTACAAAGTCATAAGCATATAATTCTATAAAATAACAATATCACCCTCAAGCACACTATAGGACATTTTAGGTGAACTGTTCAAATTAAAACTATAAATTATAACACCCATATTATGACCCTACCAACCACATGCAGGCAGGCGTTACTTCTGCCGGACTGTAATGGCACCAAAAGCACAAGCAACAGCAGTAAAATTAACCAACTGGGATGACATCAAACTAATAAACTTCTACACAACAATAAAATTAATCAACAAAATGAAAAGGCAATCTGTAAGATGGGAGAAAACACTTGTAGACCAATGTGCACTGAATGAGTGTTTTCCAACTGTTTTTACCAACTGCTTAACGTACTTAATTCAAGAGTCCAAATCCCCAAAGAGAGCCTGTCTGGCCAGCTGAAGGGCCAGTGCCTGGATTAATGTGCCCTCCACTCCTGCACACAAAGGGTAGAAGTTGTCCACCCCATGATACCAGTGTTTTTGGAATGGAGGGGAGGAAACTGGAGGGCCAGGGAAACCGTGATCAATGGGTGACACCCACCCAGAGGACCCCAGCGGCGGGCCCTGCTAACAGAAGGACTGGGCCAGTCCCGGGCCAGTCAGAGGGGCTGCAGAGCCTGAGGCTTTTTCAATGGAGCAGGTTGTATGTGGTCCCATTGCCCTGTGCTGTGGAGATAAAGGCTGAGATGGTCACCATGCTTGAAGGGGAGTGTCCACCTCACCCCACTGGACAGTCAAGAACAAAGAAGGTCACTAAGTTGTCATACCTATGTGTCCCGTTTTCCTAGTCTCAGATGTGGGATGTTTGCTGAGATGCTGGGAGCTCAGCGGTGGTCGTACCTGGGGGGAGTCTGGCTGCAGGGGGACCTGGAGCCCCCGAGGCCCTGGGGCTCTCGGTAACCACCTGTCACGGAACCTCCCAGAGGGGCTCTTCTGGGCGTCAGCACACACCTGCTCTGCTTGTGGGAGAGGAGCGCCTTCTGTCTGAGAGGAGGAGGCCTGATATTCTCCAATTGTCTCTGTGTAAACTGGGTGGGAGATGTCCCTGTGAGGCTTCACAAGGGCCCACGTCAGAGTTCAGAGACTGGTAAATACATAATTAAAAGAAACATATTTGATAACCATCATTCAATTTCTTCCTTTAACAAAGAGCAAATATTCTTAGGCTCTGCGGCAACAACTTAAATGTCTCATAATTACAGATAGTTTGCAAAGTATTAACTCCAACAGAAATTCTAGGATAAACCCTGTTTTTTCTCCAGGCATATTATTTGCTCTGTTATTTCATTTATAAACAAGCCCACTCTCAGTAGGCGTGTGTCCACGCTCCCGTGAGCACAGAAGCACAAAGCATATCTAGCCTGGTTGCGTGTCTCCTAACAAATACGTGCCCCTGACGCTCTGCACGGCAGCATCTCTCCTCCATGGTGGGCAGGGGCTCAGGGCGCTGGACCCCTGGGGTCTCCAGAAGCCAGAACAGGGCTGGGTCTGGGAGTAGGGAGGGCTGGTCTGCCGCTTACAAGCGGGGGATGGAGAATCCTGCTTCTGATCTGCAGGAGTGAGGTCCTAACAACCCATCTTCTTGAAGAAAACAGCTAGAAACTCTGGGCAATAATCAGAGAGCAACACTTAAGACTTTGGAAAAGTGAACAAAGACAGGACAATTCTTCAAGGAAGACAAATCTCACACGCAGCCAACACGAGACGTGTCCAGTTCACTATCACCGGGCTCTGAGAGCAGCCACAGGCTTGTGGGGTGGTCAGCACTTGGTAGAAATTCCACTTTCCTCATGGTCAGCAAATTCAGGCAGACAGGCTTTCTGGGGAGCAAGATGGTAATCCCAGAAAAACAGAACATCACAGAGAAACATCAAGTTTTGTGCATAAACTCTCCCCAAGTCTCCCGACCTGAGATCCAAACCATGCCACCACGCTGCTCTCCCTTGGCATTGGCCGTGGGACGCTCTGACTTGCTGGGCTGAGGACTTTGCCTGCCCTGCTACCCACCTGGCTCCAGAAGTCCTTCCTTGCAAGAGGCTGACAAGTTCCTTGCCCATGGTGCTGACTCCCGGACCTACAGACTGAGACTCGGCGGGGCTCATGTTCGTTATTGCCCATTGATTGCTCTGTGTATGTGTGTGTGTGATGTTCCCTCTTAGTTGTGAGAGTGTGAGTAGGATATTGATGTATGTCGATGTTCTACTTTGAGTCAACCTGCATTCAATGAAGCTGAGTGAATACCATAGTTACTCTGTGTGACTCTTGTGTATTCCTTGGGGCTTGGCTGCTCAACAGGAAACCAGCTGAACAGTTGCCGGGCTGCCTTATAGGAAAGACTGTTTCATGAACAAGACACTCATGACAATTTCCCATCCAGATGACTGCTATCCACCTCTCATTCATGGGGTGATCTTGGTGACTCTAAGCAGACTCAGGGCAAAGCTGGCCCACTTCTGCCAACACCCAGCACAGCGGGAGCCCAGTCTGCCTGATGCTCAGGAATGGGGGAGTGAGAGGGGGTGGAAGGACACTGGAAAAGGCAGGTGTCATCTGTGTCAGACTGTGCCTGGGTCACGAGTCCCACGGAGGTCAAGAGCACAGGACAGCCTTGTCCTCCAGAGGTTCAGCTTTCTAGTCTGCAGGGAGGGGGATCCTGGTGCGTGCAGCACCCGGGACACACTGAGACCCTGCCCACTGGCAGAGGGCTTCATCAGTGTTCTGGAATCTTCCCAAGGAAACTAACATTCACTCCTTTGGGGGAAAGAAAGAACATATGTGGAAAGAGGGTAGAATCTTCCCTGTATCTTATATATATTTGGGTGAGAACCCTGAGTCTCATCTGGGGGAAGTTGGACTCAGGGACCAAATGTGGAAACCATCGCTCTAAGAATGATGTTTCTCTGGCCCTGTGTCTGGACATCAGGACCAGCTCAGTTGACTCCAGGCTCTTCACGGGCCTAAGTGAAGATCTACAGTTTCTCTCTTTCCCGACAGCCTTCTCCACATGGACAAAGGGCAGCACGGAGTTCATCCCCACCCCATGCAAGCTCTGCACCCTCTTGGAAGGTTGGGGCTGCTGAAGACAGTGGGCTCACAGGTTGTTTTTGGTGTCTTTGTTCAAACAAGGAGACTACAGGGGTCTGGCTCTGCTCTTACTGGAAGACCTCGTCCCTGGCCTTCCAGGTCCTGATTGTCCCTCCTTGTCCTCCATTCCTGCTGCCACACATCCTGATGGCTGAAGACCAACACTATGGGGCTATAGAAAGGGAAAGACCCTATAGGGCAGCATGTGTTAGTTAATTTCACTTCTCTTTTCCCCATTTGGGTGGAGCCTTTCACGGTGAGTCTGTTACACACTTCCTGCTCAGAGCTGGGCAGTCGCACTGAAACCAGGCAGAGGACACCGGAGGGATCAGAGGCCCAGGCAGGGCCCGGGGCAGCACGATGGCCACACCAGGCAGTGACCTCAGCACCAGGTCAGTCTCTGTCTTCCTTTTTCTTCCTCTCTGGCTGAGCAGCATGCTGCTTTAGTGCCTGTCTTTGGACACTCCTCTAAACCTGGACCTTAGTCCAGGTGTACAAGAACACTCACGTGCAGTGTAATGAAATGCAGGACTACGTAGTGATGAAATCAGATCTTTAACCTGCAGAGGGACGGTCGCCGGTGTGAGTGCAGCTTCCACTTCCCACAGGACCCTTGTCTCATACCTACTGCTCCGCTGGAGGGCCACCTGGACTGGATTGTGCTTCCTGAGGTTTTGAGGCAGTGATTTGTTATCTTCTCATGACCTTTGAACCCCCTTTGTCCCTCAGACCCCCTCTACATTCACCTAGGTCATTTCAAAGAGGGTACTTTAGAAAACATAAAATTCAGGGTAAACACCTGAGTTTTCAAATCTGGGTGCCTTGGTCTCCTACCTGACCCGGGGACGGGTCAGCACCGGGCCTGTTCCCATCTCAGGCTGGGGGTCTGGCTCTCCCTCCAGGGGTCTTCATCTAAGGGAGTCAGAGGAAGAGGAAGGACCAACGTGACAAAGAACAGCACGGGCTGGTGTCATTTGTACTTTCATTTTCTGCTCTGGAAAGGTTTATATTTGGCAAGGAAAAGGCTAGAAATATTTTCACATTAATCACCCTGTAGATCTATCTCATTCTTTTTAAAGGCTGCGCACTACTGCATGGAATCCATACACCAATATTTTTATACCAACAAGCTCTGAAATATAATTTTATATTTCTTTATGTTTTTGCATGTATCCACATGTTTGACTAGTTTCAAAAACCAAAGTGTGAAATTGTTGAGAGTAATAATGCTCTATGTTTATACAGTAGATCCTGCTAAATTGCTTTTTGTTGTTGTTACGGCTGAATCACTCTGTTCTCCAACCACTGGCATCTCTCCACTCCCAGACTTCAGAAAGGAGCTGGACACAGGGGTGCAGCCTGTTAATTTGCTTTCTCTGACTACAGGGGAAGTTGAACAGGTTTTCCTGTTTACCATCCATTTACATTGTTCCTTCTCTGAATTGTTGGTTTATTTTTGGCCAATGTTATTAAGACGATTGTCCTTCCTTCAGTGATAATGGAGGGTTTGCTACTTTAGAAATACATTTTTCTTGTCTTTAACTTTATTTATGGTGACTTCTATCATATTAAAGCTTGAAATTTAGAGTATACAATTATAGTATTAATTTTATAAGATGGATTCACTATGATTATTATAAATAAATAAAAGCGATACAGAAAGTTACTGGTGAATTCCATGCAGCTCCATTTAAACACAGTTCTTGTGTACTATAAGGTGGCAGATTCAATTTCACCTCTATTTCAGGGATACTTCTTTCTCCAATATGTTTGAAAACTTCTTATTTTTCAAACTTCGGGCAAACTTATTCTTTCATTGATGCAACTTAGCCCTCACAGCTTTATCTGCCCCCTAAACTTTTATTCCTTTAGTTTTTCATTTTGTGTTCATAATGGTTGTCTCAAATTTTTCCTCCATGACAATCATCTAATTTTAGCTTTTTTTGTTTCTTATAATTTTGTATTTGAAAGAATTAATTGTGTTTGTTTTTGAGAGGGGTCTAAATTTCCTTCCATAGCTCTGCAAGCTCAACTTTACACCACCTTTTGTTGCTAAATCAGCCCATCTTCACACTGTCGCCTAATTTATGCAGGTGTTTGTGTGACACTCAGTGCCTTGGGGACAGCCTCCGTGACCCCTGGGTGTCCCTCCAGGTTGACCCTGTCTGCAGGTTGGTGTCTGTCCTTCACTTTCTTTCTCACCTGCCTGCGTGGCTGTACCGTCCATTTCTCTCAGGCTTGCCCTCGGCACCGTCCTCACCTGGGTGAACTTTTTTTACATCTCCTGTCTTTCTGAGACTGAATTTCCTGGCATCTAATACATAGTTAGAAGGCCTTATCCTTTCCCTCATCCGTTTTTCTGAGGTGCCACCCTTGGCTAACCACCCTCGTGCCCTCTGCTCTGCCCCGCTGCCCCGTCCAGTGCCCAGCGCCCACATGCGCAGGGTCTGCTCTGCGCTCTCTCCCTGCCACTGGCCTAGGAGAGCCTCTCCTTGTGCCGGACTGACTGTCATCGTGACGGCAGCTTCATGTGAGCGCGCGACAGCTGGCAGAGTTCGTCTTCCCATCCCCTCCTTCTTCAAAGGGTCCTGGCCCTTTGCATGTCCAAACCAGCTTGTCCAAACGTTGTTGGGACTTATTTTAGGATGGTAGTGAATCTGTGGATCGATTGGAAGAGAATTGATGTCTTTATAATATTGAGTTTTCTATCTCATTAATATGGTAAATGTATACTATTAATAAAAAAATTATTTGCTAATAAAATTTATTATAGCTTTCTCACTAGAGGTTTTATAATCATTCTGCTATATTTATTCATAGACACTTTATGCTCCTAAATATGCATAATTTAAAATCAACTTTCAGGCTGCCTGCTACTAAGATATAAATGTAAATTAAACTTTGCTACTTTCTGATTTTAATAACTTACAATGATATATATAAATTTACATAATGTACACCTAATGACAACTTTGTTTCCTTGTAATCTTTACACTTACTTTTTTCCTTGCTGGCCAGGACTTCCAGTACTCTGGGGAATATAAATAATGACAGTGATCATCTGCATCTTGAGCTCAGGCCCAAAGGGAAAGTCTTTCTCATTGTACCATTATGGTTGATGTTTGCGGTAGCTTTCCTTTTTTAATATGGAAACTTGCATGGATTTAAAAAGCATATCTGATGTTTTCAGTGTATGAGGTGTTCCTGGCCCTGTTTTCTACACTCTCTGCTGTTCTCACTCCCAAAGATTTTTTAAATAAACTTTTTCTGGGAATAATTTTATGTTTGTAGAAAAGTTGTAAACATGCTATACGAATTTCTGTACACTGCACATCCAGTTTCACTTCCTGTGATGTTATGCTGTTATACTACTGAAGTACACTTACCAAAACTGGCACACCCACATTGCTACATCTGTGGAACCTAAATGGCAGACTTTTTAAATTTTAACTCTTCCTCCATTAAAGTCTTCAATGAGTTCCAGGGTTGACTCCATCATACCACGTTGCCTTCAGCCATCTGGTCACCTCTTCTATCTGGTCTGTGACAGTTTCTCAGTTTCTCTTTTTTTCCTCATGACCCTGATAGTTGGAAAAGTACTGGTCAGGCATTTTGTAAAATGTTCTTCAATTTTGGTCCATCTTGATTTTTTTTAGACTGGGGGTATGGGTTTTCTGAAAGAATTCCCTGAGGAGACGTGCCGTTCTCATCACTTTTATCAGGGGAGACGTCAGCCTGACTTATCACCAGGGATGTTCACCTTGATCATTCGGTTAAGGCGGTGATTGCCAGGTTTCTTTTATTAATTTGCTTTTTTTTTTCTTTCCAAACTTATTCACAAAGATTGTTTTGCTTATTTTGCTGGTTGTCTGGCTGAATTCTCAACTGTATTTGAAAAACTTACTAATGGGAAAAATTTAGGCCTGCAGTGAAGGCATGAACCTTGTGAAAGGATTTCTTTTGCTACGTCCTGGTACCTGAGGGCACAAGTCCTCCATTCTTCTCGTCTGCATTCCCATTAGACTCTCCATCCCATGTGGACGAGGTTTTGTTTCTATTCCTCACACATGAAGGTGTCAAACCCGATCCAGAAATGCCTTGAAGTCAAAAGTGGTTTCTGTGCTCAAATAACTCCCTGGTTTCTTTTTCCCTTTTACATCACATAATAAATCCTTAGTGTTTTCGTTTCCGAAATGGTTAATAACATTTAAAGGTTTTTTCCAACTTTCAAGTTTTATCAACAGAAAGTTATACTGCACTTGCAAGTTGAGGACACTGAGGTTTCTAAAACTCTCCCAACCACACCAGAAACCTATGGCCATTGACTGATGGGGTCATTGATTTGCTGTCATTTCTCATATTATGGCTTTAAATTTGGTTGCAGCTCATGAAGTTTTTCTCTGATTATTTCTAAGATTTTTCTCTTAGCATTTTACTGTGCTATGTTCAGACTTGTTTTTTGTTTTGTTTCATTTTGAATTTTTTGGGGGGTCTCAGAGTTTCTTAAATTCGTGAGTCGATGTATTTCATCCATGTTGGAAAGTCCTCAGACAGTGCTCTTCAAATATTTCTTCTGCCCTTCCCCCAACTCCCTCCCCTCCCTTTGTAGTACTCACAAGATACGTTACACCTCCTGGCTCTGTGTCACATATCCCTCATGCTCATTTTTTAATTTTTCCATTTTTAAAATTACTGGGCTTCAGTTGATTTCTTTGGTTGATCTGACAATCATCCAGCTTGCTAATTAATTTTTCCTTGTTTATAATCCAATCTTCTGCTAAATTGTTCCATTGAATTTAATTTAATACATTGTATTATTCAACTCTAAAATTCATTGGTTATTTTCTGTGCTTTTCAATTCACTGATGAATTTGCCCAACTTTCTATTTTCTGCATTTTCCTGTGCATTTTAGTCATCGTTTTTGTGTGCTCACTTCAAACTCGGGATCACCTGGGTATCTGCTTCTATTATGTCTTTTTACTGTTTGTTTCATCCTATAGACATAGAGGCTCCAGATTTTGTTATCTTCCTCATGTGAGCAGTTCCCCTTTCCTCTGCTAGGCAGGTAATGTTAAGAGGTTGATTATCTGGAGCAAATTAGGGCTATTAGAAGTCAAGGTGGGTTTGTATTTTTAATAAATTTTAATATACCTTTGGTGTGTCGTGATCCCAGATGAGAAAATCCAGGGCTTTTAGCTGAGAGACTGCACTCAAGTATTATTCTCTGCTTTTCAAATGTTTGTCATATTTTCAGTCAGTTGCTTCATATAGCTTTAGAACTGAGAAATGTTCTTGAGGGGAAAAAAACAATTGAGAGCTAAGTTTTCTGAAGTCTCTAGTTTTGCACTCCAACACATGATGACCATCAAGAGTTTTTCTAGTTTCTTCATC